GGACGCTGAAATCCATGTGGAGAGTGCAATGTGGATGGACTGTGTTATACCTTTTTGGTGAGAAAACATGCTTACTACTACGAAATAAGTACGCAGTTATGCCAAGTAAGCGTGATGAACCCGAAACGAGACTGTCCCCCGATATTGTTGGTAAAGGGAAGGCGGTCATAAGACTGACAATGGAGAAATCGGGTAAAGGACTCACAGCGCCATGACATGTTGAACCGAAGGTTTCTGTCATTGCTTTTTCGGTCCCTGTCAGAACATAACTGCAGGTGCCCATCGTGCCGCCAATCAAAACGGGTTGGCCAGTCAACTATTGGAAGGAAAACAAACGCTGTTTGCGTATTGGCAAGCATGGCTGGATGGGGATGGGGCGTGGGAAGGAGTAAGCATGCTAGAAAGACCAGACCAGATCAGCGCTAGCGTAAGCCAGTAGTCCAATCGACTTGCCTGGTAGTCAACGGGAATGAGCGGGTGATGGGGCGGAAAGGCGCGAGTAGAACCCTTACGGTGAACCAGCAGCGTTCGAGGCCGCCCATCCACCCAGTGCTCCTCGACTTTAGCAATGTTGTGCGATACATCATAGATAATATGCATATCCAAATCGTCAGGAGTAGAATTAAATATCTTGGCAAACGCCTAAATGCAAAGGAAGGGCAGAGGATTAGCAAAGCTAGGAAAATGAAAGGGAAGATCGAAAAAGAATTTTCCAATTTAAGAACACTGAATGCAAAAATTGCTTGCCTCACGATCACTCTACCTACATTTTGATATCGAACACGTCTCATTCACAAGCACAGCAACTTCACACGGCTAAAGATGACAGAATACTCAGTTCCGAAAAAGTCAGTTTTTAAATATTTGCCCTTTAATTGTAACAAGATTCTAAGTGCCATTAAACGACGGCTGAGATACACCACTGAAAAAACTTATAATGTTGCCCATCTCATACTATGCAATCCTACTAAGCCTCTACGGACAGGTGTTTGTTTATGCTCTCCATTTGCCCGTTTATTTGTTATACATACATTGGTTGGGCTATTGGGCCCATTATAAACCAATGTTTGCCCCTTTTTGTTGATTCGAACTATAACAATGAGGTTATTGGCGCATGAAGCTAAAACCGTTTTGAAGGAAGACCAATCTTACCTAAATGTTGCGACTCGTTCAAGGAACATTCGTCATGATGTTGGCAATTGCAGTGCTTGTGATGTCCCGGTGTTACGTGGTTTGTGTGCTTACTTTTATTCATGGTGAATGGAGGGCATTTTTTCCGAAAAGTTTGGAATTATATTTTCCCTCTCTCTCCCTTTACCAATTGCGCGAGCTAAGGATGCCTTGTGAGTGCAATGCACTTGCGGATGCAAGTACACGGAGCGAACGCAAAAGCACTTGGCAACCAGATTTACTGAGCACCTGCCCAGGTGGCTGCTAAAGCAGGAAAATTAAATCCCGCGTTCTTACTTTAAGAAACACCCTGCTGGATACTAGTCACTCCGCTGACTCTAAAACACCTTTTCGAGTAATTCATTGGGAACGAAAAACTCGTACATTGTACTACTTGGAAGCGCCCTATATACACATCGGGCGAACCTCTTGTCCCTTAATTTACACAGCCCCGGTCTTTTAATGCTTGAAAAGGTTTTTTAACCTATCCTTCCCATATTTTGTTTAAAGCTACGAGTCCTACTGACTGGCCTGTGCGGCGCTTAAGCGCGACCTTGTTGTTTCGCATTATTTTTTTCTTGTGTATGAATTCAAATTTACTGTGTCCTCTCAGTTGCTATTTTACACAACGACAGGATACAGCTGGTAAGAAGTAGCGCAATTTTTATG